AAAAGAGTTCTGGTACCATTCCTCAAAGTTCCTCTGAGCATTCGTAGTCAGGGCCTGGCTTGTGAGCTGCCCTTAAGTCTGTGTATAGCTGTCAGAGGTGTAATGACTCTGAAGCAAACAGTTCCAAATACAAAAAGTCCCATAACCAAAACTTTTCCGTTCAAGCAAGTCTCTTTGAAATGTTCACTTTCAGCTATCGCTGCGCTTTGCTCCCAGACCAGGCTAGAGAGCTTCACCTCATAGCCACACGGGCTCAAGGCTCCTTCAGCTGCCATTAGCTGAAATTGTGGCCTTCCCAAGGCAACCCCAGCTTTGAGAGGAAAACCCAATTACCTGCGTTGCTGACCGTCCAAGTGCTCAGCAAACTGGGTCCCGGAATCCTGTGTATGCTGTCCTGTTGTACAACGAATGTAGCCTCAGGGCAATTCCATGATTGCAGTCACATCCTGTTGCTGGGAGCTCCAGCTGCAGTCAGTCTCAGCAGTTCCTGCAGTGCCTCAGGCTGGGCTATTCAGCCTGGAGTACGGTTCTCACCTCCATAGCTTCCTGCTTTCCAGCACGTCAGCAGCTTCTGGAAGCAGCCTGGACTCTGTGGTCTCTGCTGTTCACCACTGCTCTGCTCACTGTTCATCTTTCCCCAGGCGACGCAAACCACTGGGCTTTCTCCACCGTTGGCCTTTCTCATGGTGTAGAGTCTCCACGACTGCCGAACCTTGCTGTTCACCTTTCCCACAGCGGGGCATCTCTGCTGGGCTTTCCGAGCTGCTGCCCATCTTTAGCCTCTCTCATAGCTTAGCTTTACGGTTGAAAACCTGCGGACCCTTGGCGCTAGTCGCTGGCTCTGCTTTCGCTGGCTCTTGGCGTCTGTTGCTTGGGAAGCTATGACATTTCATGGGTTTCAGAAGTGGACATGACTTTCTGCTGCTACTTCTTGAAGTTAACAGTATCTGGAGCTGCTTCTTGCCACTATTGGTGGTTTCTGGAACTGCCAAGTCCGCCATCCGCCGTGGATTCTTATCCCTCTATTCAACCTTCACCATATTCTTAGACCTAAAGCCTATATACTCTAAACCTACATTTTTCTGACTAACCCTATGACCTGTTTAAACTTACATTCTATAGGACTACTTTGTAAACCTTACACAAGTCTCATTTAAGCCTACATAATAAACTTACATTTTATAGGACTATTCCTCAAAGCCTAAGTCCTACTCAATCCTTTATATCTACTTTATAAACTGTTATGCCCAAATCGCATCCCCAAAGAAGCCACCAGAGACTTTAGGTACAGACCGCAAAAGCAAAGTTTATTCAAATGAAGTTTACAAGCCTTGGCAGGGGGGCTAGTTCCAAATCTCTCACGCACAGCAGGGAGGTTGGAAGGAGCGCCCCTTTCTCTGTGAGGCTAGTTCTTAAAGGCACAGACCACATAATTCATTTCCCATAACCCGCCTCCCTTTCTTTGGTTCATATCAGTTCTATTTTTTAGTCTTTCATGTTATCTTTATTTCTCATTTGTTCAGCAACCGTGTTTAGGAGTTTTACGAGCTGTCTCCGGGGTTCGGGAAGTTTGGGATGTTTTATGACCACTTAGCCTCTGCCAGATGGTCGAATATCCTGACTCTGTGTTTTTTTAAGTTTCTGTAGCTGATAATGCCACCTGGGAAAAAGGGGTCTAAGTTCTTATCTACACTTAGGAATTCTGGTTCAAGCTCCTCTCTGTCTGTAGGGGACAGAGTGGCGGTGTGTGTGTGTGTGTGTGTGTGTGTGTGTGTGTGTGTGTGTGTGTGTATGTGTGTGTGTGTGTGTTTATTGAGGTTTCACATAAACCTTACCTAAGTCTTACTTACATTCTCTAGGTCTATTTTATAAACCTTAACATCTAGAAGAAACCGTACCTAAGTTTACAATTAGCATCTTTACTTCTAACAGGCTTATTATAGGACTGCCTTGGTTTCTTAAAGAAACTCTATAGGACTATCTTAGCAAAGATATTTCTTAACATCTAGAAAAGATTTTTTAGCTAAATTATGAACAAGACCAGAAGTATGCAAATCATTTCTAAAGTTCAGAGTTTAGTCAGCTTTGATATTATTCTAAAAGTTTTTGAGAGTTTGAAACAAGAGTAAATTTGGTAATGGTTCTTTTAATGCTGGGATTTAGTGAGTTCTGTTGCTATGGAGTTGTAACACTTGTTGCTAGGGAACTGTAACATTCTTGAGACAAAACCACACCCCAAAGTCACCTTTACTGCCACAGAGCTCTCTCAGCTGTTCCAACACCAGCAGAGATGTTCAGCTGCTAACGGTTTCTAACTAGACGCTGTCTCTTTACCCAAATTCATAACAGCTCTCCTGTGCCGTAATTCAGACAAATGTTTCTGTTACAGCAGAACTTTTAGTTTGTTCTACTGAAAAGTCTTGCTTTAGGCTGAGGGTGAAATTCTCGTATTGAACTTCCATAAAGCTCTCAGCAAAAAATTTCTTGCACAGCTATTAGACCATATAAGATACTGTTTCAAACCTGCATTGATGCTACATTTCCCAGAAAACCTTTCGGGTATGCTAGCAAGCTTTCCAGTTCCCTTTACAGGGTTTTGCTTTTGCAATGGGAGATTTTTCTTTCCTAAGCTTGCTTTAAGATGCCTGTGCCACCGTTTAACAGGTATACCTCTCTAATTAGATCTTTTATCTGACCTAGCTCCAGAGCAGTTTTGCCTCTTCATCCGGTGCTCAGACTGTGGCTTATTGCCTTAGGCAAAACTGTTAGGGCTTCACTCCGGGTCAGTGAGGCAAACTGAAAACATTTGTTTCAGAAAGGTCCTGGCCCAACTCCTTCCCCAGATAATGTCTGTGGCAGCTGTACAGCTGCAGCCAAGAGGCTTGGCTTTACCGCTTTATCAGCAGCCCTTCCCATCAGGGAGGTCTCTGCCTGTCTGCAGAGGGATTTCTGACTGCTTTTTGCTGGCTAGAAGAGACAGAGCTTAGAAGAGATTTTGGGGAACTCAAGCCCTGCTTCCCTCATTGCAGGGAGGATTTTTCTGGCTTGAAAGAAGGACAGAACTTAGAGTGGTTTTGCTGTTCTAAGAGGTTTGTCACAGGTGATTTCCTATACTAATTATTATTTTTGTCCTTTACAGAGAGAAAGTTCTGAAAGGCTTTTTAGAGACAGATTTTACAAAGTTTTTTTTTTTTTTTCAAGAGAAAGATTCCTAAGCTTTCCCAAAAATTCTGTTCTCTAAACTTTGGCTTCAGTGTCCTAGAGGGAACTACTTCTCAGGGTACCATGTTTCTATACAGTGGTAGTGTCAGCAGAGTGAAAGTTTCTCAGGCACTGCTGACGGAGCAGAGGATTTTGTTTACCTCGGGGACAATGCCTGCCTGCTTCTCCGATCTTAGATCTAGACTGTCCTGAATCAATGCCCACAGGCCAAGAGCTTCCATGGGAAATTTTTTTTCTGCCTGATAAGCTCAAAGAAGAGTTTTTTTCTACCCGTTAAGCTCAAAGAAGATAGATTTTTTTTTTCCTAGTTTGTGTTCATAGCACCCAAAGTTAGAAGATTGGCATAGGCAACTGATAATTATTTCTGGGACCTGAGGATGATAATTAAGAGTTCAGTTTGCAATCATTACATTTAATCTGCCTGAATAATAATGGTAGAAATAGGTGGATACTTGACTTTACAGAGTACCGGAAGGTCATTGCTGTAAGTACAAGTTTGAGAGCCATGAAACACTCAAAGTACTTAGGCACAATGGAAGGTACTAAGAAGATGAGACAGAACTGACCTGTATGGTAGAGGAGAATTATGGACTAGAACCTTCAAATATAGAAAAGTCAGTATATGAGGACGAAGGTACAAAGGAGGCCAGAACGTTAGTTGGTGGTGTCCCACTTTCTCCCAAGTGGAGAAACTTCTTCCGGGACCAGACAATGACAGGCAGTGTCAGAAGCTCCTGCTAGATGAAGTAAGATGAAGCTTAAGAATAGTCTGTTAGCCGGGTGGTGGTGGCACATGCCTTTAATCCCAGCACTCAGGAGGCAGAGGCAGGTGGATCTCTGTGAGTTCGAGGCCAGCCTGGTCTCCAAAGCGAGTTCCAGGAAAGGCTCAAAGCTACACAGAGAAATCTTGTCTCAAAAAACCAAAGAGAGAGAGAGAGAGAGAGAGAGAGAGAGAGAGAGAGAGAGAGAGAGAGAGAGAGAATAGTCTATTAGATTTAGCAGTAAAAAGGTGAACGGTGCTGTCTCTAATTGACCTCATACAGTAGAATGTCTGAATCACAATAAATTAGAGTTCAAAACACAATGATGGGGCAAAATTTGAAGACAACAAGTGCACGTAGCTGTTAAGAATAGAAAAGAGGGGACGGGGAGATAAGCGGGATCAGGATACTTGATGGAAAATCCACGGAGAATCGATAAAAGTTAAGAAAAAAGAATAGGAAACACAAACAAAGGGTTTTCCCAATTTTTCACACAATTGGTACCATACAAACTATTTCATCCCTGGTCATCCAAATATGTAAGCATTTCTCTCTACCAGTAACCAACCAATTCCCTAACAGACAGCATCTGGGTGTCTAATTTATTTTAAAAAACATGGCAGGTTGAGGGCTGATACAACTTAGCTACAAATCAGGGCTCTGATAACCTCCTTCTTGAGTTACATTCATTTCCTGTGATAGCTCACAAAACTCGAGAAACATTGCCTAAATGTCTCCATTCATTATAAATAATATTACAGAATATGCAGATGAATAATTCAGTGATTGGAATGGTATGTGAGACAGGTCACAGAGCTTCCATGCCTTCTCCAGGCACCTCTGTGTATTCAGCTACCCAGAACACCCTGAACCCAAATCTTGGGGCCTTATGAAGGCTTTAGTGCAGAGGCAGGATTGATGAAAGCGTTGGCCATTGTTGATCAACTTAGTCTTTAACTTTGTCTTCTTTCCCTGGACATAAGACAATTGCATCTGTGGGGAGGAGGTGAGACTTACCACTTAGGAGAGAGCAAGACTTGTGTCCAGGAAATTCAGTCTTTGAAACAAAGATCCTTTCCATCAAAATTACCACATACGTCAGAAAGGGAGGATTTCTCTCATGTGTGAAATCTAGAACAGAAAGAAATTGACATGAAAGAGGAAAGGTACTATTGGTAAGTAGACGGGGATAAGAGAGAGAGAAAGGAGGACACGACAGGGTAAATGTGGAGTAAGTACGATCAAAGTACATTATATGCATGTATGGAAACAGCACAGTGAAACCCACAATTACATGCAATACACACTAATCAAATTTTGAAGACAAACATATAGTGTCATACTATGACAGTCCCATTCAGTCACTAATAATGAGTCCAACCCATCTTCCTATCATGAACAAAAATCAGGGCAAGGTCACTCAAATTTGTAGATTTTCAAACAACACAATGTCTTCTTTGACAAGTTTTCTATGCATTACAGGATTTACATATACGACGAGATCTCTCATTTATTCTCTTTGAAATATGGACACAAAACATCCCATGTAAAGGCTTGCTCCCATCCTGCCCTTCCTTAGATTGTTGGCAGGAACATTTAGTAACAGGATAGTGTTATTTGAGAGATACATGTCAAGGTAATTTAGGATTATTTGTCAAAGGGTATCATGAGAAGTATGAGCATTTGTCTGAGGAAATTAGAATCTTCTGAAGTTTGAGTTGGATGGCTGGCCCAGTGTGTAACTGCTTGCCATATAAGTGTGAGGACCTGAATTTCAAATCCCCAGAACCCATGTAAAAGTTGATTTTGCAGTTCTCTACTCCCAGTGCTGTTATTGAAAGGTAAGTAATAAAGTCAAGAGAATCCTTGGGTGCTCCTGGGCTAGCTAGCCTGGTGTCTGTAGTGGAAAGTGACGGAAGAGTGACCCTGATCTAAACAAAGTAGAAGGGGCAGGCTGAACCCCAATGCTGTCCTCTGACCTCCACATGTGTGCTATGGCAAATATGCATCCACACTCACAAACATGAACGCACGCACATCATACATATTCATATATCACGCAAACTCATGTACATACATGTATTAGCATATATAGACATGCAGACACACACACACAGAAACTACCAAAGTTTAACTTCACCAACGATTACCAACTGTTTCCCATTTGTGCACATTATTTTGTTAACCTGTGTTCCAACTTATTGCATTTTTAATCAACAGTATTACTTTTGAAAACCTGGAGTCAACATGATAGCTCATGAGTAAAGGTGCTCACTCCCAAAACTGATGACCAGAGTTCAATTCCCAGAACCCATATAGAGGAACAAGAGAAACGATTACCACAAGTTGTCCTCTGACCCCTATAGGAGTGTCATGGTACATGTGGCGACACACAACACCTATGCACACACACACACAAAATACAGATAGATAGATAGATAGATAGATAGATAGACAGACAGACAGATAGATAGATAGATAGATAGATAGATCGATGATAGATAAATGATAGATAGATAGATAATAGACAGATAGATAGATAAATGATAGATAGATAGATAGAAGATAGATAGATAGATAGATAGATAGATAGATAGATAGATAGATAGATAGATGGATGGATGGATAGATGATAGATGATAGAGGGATGGATAGATAGATAAAAGATGGATGGATAGATAGATGGATAGATAGATGATAAATGGATAGATATAGATAGATATGTGATAGATAATAGATAAATAGATGAGAGATAGATAAATAGATAGAGATAGATGGGTGGTAGATAGGTAGATTGATAAATAGATAAATAGATGATAGATAGATAGATAGACAGATAGACAGATAGATAGATACATAGATACATAGTTGATAGACAGACAGGCCTAAAAGGATGGCTCAGCACATAAGAATAAGCATTCCTTCAATAGACTCTAACACTAATTTGGAATCACCAAAGCATATATTCACACAAAGACAAATAACAAAGGAATAAAAAAATAAACCTACTATTACTCCACAATATTGAATATCTCTATTTTCTGGACGCAGTCTGAAATTTCATTTGTTTTCTTCCATGTATGTTTTCTGTAGAAAGCCATGAGAAACCATTTTAACTATATTTTTACACAAACGTTTTAAAAATATTTGCTGGCTGAAATATAATTGAAGGTCTGAACCAGTGGAGCACCAGAAATAAATTCTGAATTAAAAATGAAGAACAAGAATGAAGTGTGTGCTACTAGCCTTTCCCACCTTATTCGTTTCTGCTTTGGTGTCTTGAAAACCATCAGGGATAAAATAATATGGCGGAACACAGTCAAAAAGAGTTAGAGTAAGTGCATTCCTCTAGGCGGGATTGTGTTTGCTTTGCTTTAGCCCAGAAGGCAAAACATGGAGAGTCACACCACTTCAGCTCCTTGCCATTGGCTTCTTCCTCCTGCACTGTAATCTTCAGGCTGATTCCTCTTGCCATCTCCTTTCCAATATTCTTAACCACATATCTCCCTCTTACCCTCCTTTTCTACAGAGTATATAAAGCAGAAACTTGCCACTAGTCACTCGATTTTCAGCTTGTTAAGCTCCAGGGTCACTAGGTAAACACAACCAGCTTGCATGAGTAGATGGGAGGGGGAATTCCAGACCCCTTGTAGGGATCTGGGGATGTGGTTCTGGAGAAGGAACCTTTTCTGACAGGTCCCAGTCCCTGAATTCCACCTGTAGCACAGCTCAAGGGGAAAGCCATTTGTAAAAGAAAAAAAGGCAAGCCACACAGAAGGCCAGGCAGACAGAAAGGAGAGGGGATGGCAGGGAGAGAGTTAAATGGATGACAGACATTTGGCCACAGTGGCTAGCAACCAGGCCTGAGACCCTGACCACCTCCCAGAGATGAGGGACACAGTTTGTGTGGTCTCCAGAACTGAGCTGTGGATACCGCTAGGGAGGCTTAGAAAAAAACTAGGGGGTTCCTGGGTGACCTTGTGCACCACGGTACTGACAGGCAGGCATGCACACACGCAGGAAAAGTTCTGCACAACGACCCAGACGCAGCCCAGGCTGCACAATCCCCTGCAGGAGGTCCTCTCCTGCTGCCAGACATGGCAGCCACAGGACCCAGCTCCCATGACCAGGAAGCCAAGCCTCATGGCGCAAAGAGCTGGTCACCTAAACCCTGCTTCCTCCTCCAGCTCTCCTGGCTCATGGAGCAGGGAAGAGAACCGCTTTGGTCTTGAGGGACCCAGGCTGGAGCCCTTCCCTAGCGGGCCGCCTCCATTTCCAGGGAAGCACAGGGACTTGCTGGCAAAATCGGCAAACTGAATCCGCGTGATGGCAGCAGTGCACCGAGAATGCCAATGGCCAAGGGTGCAGGCTGCTCTATCTCCGCCCTTCGCAAAGCAAAAAAATTTAAAAAAAAAAAAAGAGTTCTCCTGCCCAGTTCCAAGATGGAGGCCAACCCTGTAGGAAGGGACTGGACACACATGAGGCTCTAGGGCTGCTGCTAGGGATCCCAGGGTGTTCAGCGGGTGGGGTGCGGTGGGCACATGAAGGATACTGACCTTAACACTTCCTCCATGCCCTGCACTGCCCTGAGACACTTGGCTTTGGGCACATGCCAGCCCATGATGGCCCCGCCTGAGGGTATCATGTAGTACCTGGAGAGGGGGCGGGTGGTGGAGGGTGTCACTGAGGGGGCCAAGTGGGGAGTGTGTGCATGTGGGCGCAGAAGCACTTGAGAGCCCGCACCAGACCCTAAGGGAATCCTACACAAACCACATGCCAATCTGGACTGTAGGGAAGGAGCCTCAGAAACATACTCATGGATTTGGGGACCAGAGGCTGAGCATCACCCCCTAGCTGCCAAACCAGGGTATTCTCACAGCTGCATCCCTGCCCTCGCCCCACCCTCACCCCAAACACACAAACACACACACACACACACACACACACACACACACACACACACACACACACACACACGCACACACACACACAGCAGCAGCTTTGAGAGATCCAGCAGCTGTCTACATGACTCCACCCACCAGGGTGACCAGTACAGCTGCCAGGATGGCCTTGGGTCTGCTGACCCAAGCTTCAAGGTCAAGGGACCAGCCAAGAGGGGCCTCCCATGCTGACCCCGGTCCTGCTAGGGCAGTGGGTTGGTGGTGTCCCAGAACCGAGAGCACACGCGGAGGTGTGAAAACAAGGGAGGAGACCACCCGACTCAATGGGACCCTAGGCCCAGCATGGGCTTCCCACCTGGCAGAAGGCCGCTCATGGATGGACACAAGGGTAAAGGACAGGCAGCTGTGTTCACTGGTCAGGGCTCCAGGGTCGGTGGCCTGAGCCCCGTGGCCCATGGTCCCATGGTCTAATATTGAGATGGGAGAGGAGAAGGGCTTCCTTCCAAAACCTTGGCCTTGGTAGTGATGTGCGTTCAGGTGGATGCTGCCCTACATCATCCGAAGCAGGGAGCACTAGGGTCCGGGGACATCCACAACCTCGCCTCAACAGGCAGGCCGACCAGGTCCCTGAGGAGGAGACAAGGACACATCAAAAGAAGAAACATTGCACCCACCTGCCCTCTTGTCACCAAACCCTGGGCCCCGGCCCCCACCTTAACCGTCTCCTAGGCAGCACCAGGCAACCATTCTGACCTACCTCCAGCTCTGTCACAATCCCTCTCCTCTGCACAGTCCTCTGCCTCCCAAACCTAACCTCCCACCTCCCCACCCTACCCTACACCAACTACCAGGCCCCACACAGGAAACTTCTCTTTCCCTTCTCTAACTTCCCCAAGACCCTGTCAGGCACGGAACTCTCTGTATCCTCTGTGGACACCCACCTACCTGTGGCAGGGCCTAGGCACACACAGGACTCAGTTCTCTCAAGAGATTCAAGTGGACCAAGGACGGGCAACATAGAACCTGAGGGAAGTAAGCAATTCTCACTCTTAACACCAGGATGACTGCAGCACACACCCACCCTGTCTGTCCTTATGGATATCCCACAACATTCCAGGTGTCCTACACACAATTCCCTCCAGGGGCCCAGACCCATGCAACAGAAAAAAGTGTCCACAGACAGAGTGGGTCTGCCCACCAGCCTGCATGAAAAACACCAACAATCACGAAAACACCCAACAGCCCACATGCAGATTCTCATTTGCTCTCCCACCCTCTCTCATCCTGTCCCGCACCCCTCTCTCTCCCTGTCGCCCCCCCTCATTTATCTATCCTCCTCTACCTCCACCTCTACCTCTATCTCTGTCTTTCTCTATCCTTCGCTCCTATGTACCGTCCCATCCCTGGTATCCACGGTAGCTAGGCCATGTTCACTTGGGAAATGCTTTGCACTCCCCAACAGGAAGCCTTCCTTCCATGAGCACTGAAAGTCTCCAGAGGACCTCTTCCACACTGCTGACATCTTCCATGACAGAGACTAGAAGAAAATCACCCTCCCTGCCACCTGGAGACAAATCAATCTATGCTCTTCCAAATCTCCCTCTCTTCAAAGCCTCCTGGAGACATTTGCTTAGGTTAAAAAGGGAACTTCCTGGGGCGTCGGGTGGGGTTGCAGGCCCTGACTTCCTAGATCTGCCTGGCAGGCCACTTCAAAGGCCTGTCCTGCCACCATTCTGATGGTTCCTACACAACCCTCTCATCCACCATGCCACCACATGCAACTGTGCCCCAACTCACATACAGAATGCACCAATCCAAACCTTGTGCTCACCTGAGCTGGAACTGAGAGATGGAACCCTAAAAGGCCTCCCCAAGATGCAAAACTGTCCTACACCTCAACCCTGGCCTGACTACCATAACTATTAAATACTGTGCCTCACAGGCACTGGTAATGGGCAATCACAGGAATAGGCCACAACAAATCCAGGCCTACAGAAACACCCAATACACACACACACACACACACACACACACACACACACACACACACACACACCCACACACACAAACACACACACACAGAGCAGTTCTAGGACTACAGATAGTATCCTCTGTTAATTTCAGAGCCTTCTTTAAGTGTTCTTCCTGCTGAGATATTTTCTGGAGAGGACAGTGCAGGACAAGGGGCTATTGGACCTTGGACCCTGGGAGGTCTCCCTGGGTTTAAGGCAAAGAGAGCTAGGCAGGAGAACACAGGAAGGAGTATGCGGCCTGCATGTGTGTCCTGCATGACCCAGAGGAGGCATGTCAGGGGAGGCAGCGACCATGAAACCTGGCCACCATGGTACCTAAGTCCTGCCTGGCCTCTTTGTGAGCAGCCCTGAGTCCAAACCCTGCTCTAGCTGCTTCTACTGGGATTCAAATTGAGACTCCACACTGCCTTACTGGGTACACACAACCAGCTTACATAAGATAATGATGGGGGCGGGGGGGGGCACCTCACATATCACTTGTAGGATTCAGGGGTTTGGCTTTGGAGAAGGAACCTTTTCTAACAGGTCCCAGTCCCTGAATTCCACCTGTAGCACAGCTCAAGGGGAAAGCCATTTGTAAAATAAACAAAAGGCAAGCCAGAGAGAAGGCCAGACAGACAGAGAGGAGAGGGGGGCTGTCAGGAGAAGTTAAATGGATGACAGACATTTGGTCAAGGTGGCTAGCAACCAGGCCTGAGATCCTAAGCACCTCTCAGAGATGCAGAGCAGATTTTGTGTGGTCTTCTGATGTGAGCTGCGGATACTGCTAGGGAGGGTCAGACAAAAGCTAGGGGGTCCCCGGTAGCCTTGTGCACCACGGTACAGGCAGGCACGCTGGCACTCTGGGAGGAAATTTACCCAAAACGACCATGATGCAGCACAGGCTGCACAATCCCCTGCAGAGAGGTCCTCCCCTGCTGCCAGACATGGTGGCCACAGGACCCGGGAGGCTGTGCTTCTGTGACCTGCAAGCCAAGCCTCGTGGCGCCTTCCCGGAGCTGGTCACCTGGACCCTGCTTCCTCCGCCAGCTCTCCTGGGTCATGAGGCTGTGAAGAGAACCGCTTTGGTCCTGGGGGACCCGGGCGGGAGCCCTTCCCTAGCCGGCCGCCTCCATTTCCAGGGAAGCACAGAAACTTGCTGGAGGAATCGGCAACCTGAATCCGCATGATGGCAGCAGAGCACCGAGAATGCCAATTGCCAAGGGACAAGGGTGCTCTCCCTCCGCCCTTCGCAAAGCAAAAAAAATTTAAAAAAAAATTTAAAAAATGCCAGATTTCTCCTGCCAAGCACCAAGATGGAGTCCAACCATGCAGGCCTGAACTGGACAGACATGAGACTCTAAGGCTGCTGCTAGGGATCCCAGGGTGTTCAGCGGGTGGGGGTGCGGTGGGCAGATGGAGGTTACCAACCTTAACAGGTTCCTCCATGCCCTGCACTGAGACACTTGGCTTTGGGCAAATGCCAGCCCATGAAGGCCCCGTCTGAGGGTAATTTGGTACATGGAGAGGAGGCGGGTGGTGGAGGGTGTGATGGAGGGGGCCAAGTGGGGAGCGTGTGGATGTGGGTGCAGAAGCACTTGAGAGTCCGCACCAGACCCTAAGGTTATCCTACACAAACCACATGCCAATCTGGACTATAGGGAAGGAGCCTCAGAAACATACTCATGGATTTGGGGATCAGAGGCTGAGCGTCGCCCCCTAGCTGCCAAACCAGGGTATTCTCACAGCTGCATGCCTGCCCTCGCCCCGCCCTCACCCCAAACACACACACACACACACACACACACACACACACACACACACACACACACACACATACACACACACAGCAGCTTTGAGACATCCAGCAGCTGTCTACATGACCCCACCCACAAGGGTGACCAGTACAGCTGCCAGGATGGCCTTGGGTCTGCTGACCCCAAGCATCCAGGTCAAGGTGCCAGCCAAGAGGGGCCTCCCAGGCTAACCCCTGTCCAGCTACGGCAGTGGGTTACTGGTGTCCCAGTTCCGAGACCACAAGGAATGTGTGACAACAAGGGAGACGACCACCCAACTCAATGGGATCCTAGGCCCAGCACTGGCATCCTACCTGGCAGAAGGCCGCTCCTGGATGGACACAAGGGTAAAGGACAGGCAGCTGTGTTCACCGGTCAGGGCTCCAGGGTTGCGGCCTGAGTCCCGTGGCCCATGGTCCCATGGTCTAATATTGAGATGGGAGAAGAGAAGGGCTTCCTTCCAAAACCTTGGCGTCCGTGCTGAAATGCATTCAGGTGGATGCTGCCCAACATCATCCGAAGCAGGGACCACTAGGGTACGGAGACATCCACAACCTCGCCTCAAAAGGCAGGCCGTCCAGGTCCCTGAGGAGGAGACAAGGACACATCAAAAGAAGAAACATTGCGCGCACCTGCCCTCTTGTCACCAAACCCTGGGCCCCGGCCCCAACTTAACCGTCTCCTAGGCAGCACCAGGCAACCATTCTGACCTACCTCCAGCACTGTCACAATCCCTCTCCTCTGCACAGTCCTCTGCCTTCCAAACCTAACCTCCCACCTCCCTACCCTACCCTACACCAACTACCAGGCACCACACAGGAAACTTCTTTTTCCCATCTCTGACTTCCCCAAGGCCCTGTCAGGCACGGAACTCTCTGTATCCTCTGTGGACACCCACCTGCCTGTGGCAGGGCCTAGGCACACACAAGACTCAGCTCTCTCAAGAGATTCAACTGGCCCGAGGACAGCAACATAGAATTAAGGGACAAGAAGTAATTCTCACTCTTAACACCAACACCAGGATGCCTGCTTCACACACCCACCCTGTCTGTCCTTATGGATATCCCACAACATTCCAGGTGTCCTACACACAATTCCCTCAGGGCCCCAGACCCATGGAACAGAAAAAAGTGTCCACAGACAGAGTGGGTCTGCCCACCAGCCTACATGAAAAAAACACCAACAATCACGAAAACACCCAACAGCCCACATGCAGATTCTCATTTGCTCTCCCACCCTCTCTCATCCTGTCCCGCCCCCTCTCTCTCCCTGTCGCCCCCCCCCATTTATCTATCCTCCTCTACCTCCACCTCTACCTCTATCTCTGTCTTTCTCTATCCTTCTTCCTATGTACCGTCCCATCCCTGGTATCCACGGTAGCTAGGCCATGTTCCCTTGGGAAATGCTTTCCACTCCCCAACAGGAAGCCTTCCTTCCATGAGCACTGAAAGTCTCCAGAGGACCTCCTCCACACTGCTGACATCTTCCATCATGGAGCCTCGAAGAAAATCACTCTCCCTGCCACCTGGAGACAAGCCTGTCTATGCTCTTCCAAATCTGCTTCTCTACAAAGCCTCATGGAGACATTTGCTTAGGATAAAAAGGGAGCTTCCTGGTGCCTTAGTGAGGGTGGAGGCCCTGACTTCCTAGACCTGCCTGGCAGGCCACTCCAATGGAGGGTCCCACCACCTTTCCAATGGTTCTTACACAATGCTCTCATCCACCATGCCCCGGCAAGGCCTGAGCCCCAAACCACACACACGATGCACCACTCCAAACCTTGTGCTCACCTGAGCTGGAGCTGAAGGAGAGAGCCCTAGAAGGCTTCCCCTGCATGCAAACCTGTCCTTCCTCTACATCCCAGAGCTGACCACCATAACTGTTACATACTGTGCCTCTCAGCCATTGCTTATGGCTTCTCACAGGACTAGGCCACAATAATCCCAGGTATACACAAACACCCAACACACACACACACACACACACACACACACACACACACACACACACACTCACAAACACTCCTCCATGCGTAGCAGTTCTAGGACTCTAGATAGAGCTTTCTGTTAATTTCAGAGCCTTCTCTAAGTATTCTTCCTGCTGAGATGAGGCCTGCACAGGGGAGTGAGTGCAGGACAAGGGGATTTGTGACCTTTGACCCTGGGAGGTCTCCCTGGGTTTAAGGCAGAGTGAGCTACGCAGGAGAACACAGGAAGGAGTATGCGGTCTGCATGTGTGTCCTGCATAACACAGAGGAGGCTTGTCGGGGGAGGCAGGGACCATGAAACCTGGCCACCACGGTACCTACGTTCTGCCATGCCTGTTTATGAGCACCCCTGTGTCCAAATCCTGTTCGAGCTGCTTCTACTGGGATTCACTTTGAGCCACCACACTGCCTTGCTGGGTACACACAACCACCTTGCATAGGATGATGATGGGGGGGGGGCTTTAAGACCCCTTGTAGGGATCTGGGGATGTGGCTCTGCAGCAGGAACCTTTTCTGACAGGTCCCAGTCGCTGAATTCCACCTATAGCACAGCTCAAGGGGAAACCCTGTAAAAGGAACAAAAGGAAAGCCAGAGAGAAGGCCTGGCAGCCAGAGAGGAGAGGGGATGGCAGGGAGAGAGTTAAATGGATGACAGACATTTGGCCAAGGTGGCTAGCAACCAGGCCTGAGACCCTGAGTACCTCCCAGAGATGCAGGACAGAGTTTGTGTGGTCTCCGGAAATGAGCTGTGGATACCGCTAGGGAGGCTCAGACAAAAGTTAGGGGGTCCCAGGGTGGACTTGTGCACCACAGTAAGGGCAGGCGGTCCGGCACACGGGTAGGAAATCTCCCCAAAACGACCATGATGCAGCCCAGGCTGCACAATCCCCTGTGGAGAGGTCCTCTGCTGTGGCCAGACATGGCGGCCAAAGGACCCTGGAGGCTGTGCTTCCTTGACCTGCAAGCCAAGCCTCCTGGCGCCCGCCCGGAGCTAGTCTCCTGGACCCTGCTTCCTCCTCCAGCTCTCCTGGCTCATGGAGTGGGAAAGAGAACCGCTTTGGTCCTGTGGGACCCAGGCGGGAGCCCTTCCATAGCCTGCGGCCTCCATTTCCAGGGAAGCACAGGGCCTTGCTGGTGGAATGGGCAAACTGAATCCGCATGATGGCAGGAGTGCACCGAGAATGCCAATGGCCAAGGGTGCAGGGTGCTCTCCCTCCGTCCTTCGCAACGCAAAAAAGTTTACAAAAAATTTAAAAAAAAAAAAAAAAAGAGTTCTCCTGCTAAGTTCCAACATGGAGGCCAACCCTGTGGGCCGGGACTGGACACACATGAGGCTCTAGGGCTGTTGCTAGGGATCCCAGGGTGTTCAGCGGGTGGGGTGCGGTGGGCACATGAAGGATACCGACCTTAACACTTCCTCCATGCCCTGCACTGCCCTGAGACACTTGGCTTTGGGCACATGCCAGTCCATGATGGCCCCGCCTGAGGGTATCATGTAGTACTGGAGAGGGGGCGGGTGGTGGAGGGTGTCTTGGAGGGGGCCAAGTGGGGAGTGTGTGCATGTGGGCGCAGAAGCACTTGAGAGCCCGCACCAGACCCTAAGGGAATCCTACACAAACCACATGCCAATCTGGTCTATAGGGAAGGAGCCTCAGAAACATACTCATGGATTTGGGGACCAGAGGCTGAGCATCACTCCCTAGCTGCCAAACCAGGGTATTCTCACAGCTGTATCCCGGCCCTCGCCCCGCCCTCACCCCAAACACACACACACACACACACACACACACACACACACACACACACACACACACAAACACACACACACTTTCAGAGATCCAGCAGCTGTCTACATGACTCCACCCACCAGGGTGACCAGCACAGCTGCCAGGATGGCCTTGGGTCTGCTGACCCCAAGCATCCAGGTCAAGGCGCCAGCCAAGAGGGGCCTCCCATGCTGACCCCGGTCCTGCTAGGGCAGTGGGTTGGTGGTGTCCCAGAAGTGAGAGCACACGCGGAGGTGTGAAAACAAGGGAGGAGACCACCCGACTCAATGGGACCCTAGGCCCAGCACGGGCTTCCCACCTGGCAGAAGGCCGCTCCTGGATGGACACAAGGGTAAAGGACAGGCAGCTGTGTTCACTGGTCAGGGCTCCAGGGTCGGCGGCCTGAGCCCCGTGGCCCATGGTCCCATGGTCTAATATTGAGATGGGAGAGGAGAAGGGCTTCCTTCCAAAACCTTGGCCTTGGTAGTGATGTGCGTTCAGGTGGATGCTGCCCTACATCATCCGAAGCAGGGACCACTAGGGTCCGGGGACATCCACAACCTCGCCTCAACAGGCAGGCCGACCAGGTCCCTGAGGAGGAGACAAGGACACATCAAAAGAAGAAACATTGCACCCACCTGCCCTCTTGTCACCAAACCCTGGGCCCCGGTCCCCACATTAACCGTCTCCTAGGCAGCACCAGGCAACCATTCTGACCTACCTCCTGATCTGTCACAATCCCTCTCCTCTGCACAGTCCTCTGCCTCCCACCCCTAACCTCCCACCTCCCCACCCTACCCTACACCAACTACCAGGCACCACTCAGGTTACTTCTCTTTCCCTTCTCTAACTTCCCCAAGACCCTGTCAGGCACGGAACTCTCTGTATCCTCTATGGACACCCACCTACCTGTGGCAGGGCCTAGGCACACACAGGACTCAGCTCTCTCAAGAGATTCAACTGGCCCGAGGACAGCAACAGAGAATTAAGGGACAAGAAGTAATTCTCACTCTTAACACCATCACCAGGATGCCTGCAGCACACACCCACCCTGTCTGTCCTTATGGATATCCCACAACATTCCAGGTGTCCTACACAAAATTCCCTCCAGGGGCCCAGACCCATGCAACAGAAAAAAGTGTCCACAGACAGAGTGGGTCTGCCCACCAGCCTGCATGAAAAAAACACCAACAATCACGAAAACACCCAACACCCCACATGCAGATTCTAATGTGTTCTCCCACCCTCTCTCATCCTGTCCCGCCCCCCTCTCTCTCCCTGTCGCCCCCCCTCATTTATCTATCCTCCTCTACCTCCACCTCTACCTCTATCTCTGTCTTTCTCTATCCTTCGCTCCTATGTACAGTCCCATCCCTGGTATCCACGGTAGCTAGGCCATGTTCCCTTGGGAAATGCTTTCCACTCCCCAACAGGAAGCCTTCCTTCCATGAGCACTGAAAGTCTCCAGAGGCCCTCCTCCACACTGCTGACATCTTCCATCATGAAGCCTCGAAGAAAATCACTCTCCCTGCCACCTGGAGACAAGCCTGTCTATGCTCTTCCAAATCTCTTTCTCTACAAAGCCTCATGGAGACATTTGCTTAGGATAAAAAGGGAGCTTCCTGGTGCCTTGGTAAGGGTGGAGGTCCTGACTTCCTAGACCTGCCTGGCAGGCCACTCCAATGGAGGGTCCCATCACCTTTCCAATGGTTCCTACACAATGCTCTCATCCACCATGCCCCGGCAAGGCCTGAGCCCCAAACCACACACACGATGCACCACTCCAAACCTTGTGCTCACCTGAGCTGGAGCTGAAGGAGAGAGCCCTAGAAGGCTTCCCCTGCATGCAAACCTGTCCTTCCTCTACATCCCAGAGCTGACCACCATAACTGTTACATACTGTGCCTCTCAGCCATTGCTTATGGCTTCTCACAGGACTAGGCCACAATAATCCCAGGTATACAAACACCCAACACACACATACACACACACACACACACACACACACACACACACACACACACACACACATACACACACATACACACACTCACAAACACTCCTCCATGCATAGCAGTTCTAGGACTCTAGATAGAGCTTTCCGTTCATTTCAGAGCCTTCTCTAAGTATTCTTCCTGCTGAGATGAGGCCTGCACAGGGGAGTGAGTGCAGGACAAGGGGATTTTTGACCTTTGACCCTGGGAGTTCTCCCTGGGTTTAAGGCAGAGTGAGCTAGGCAGGAGAACAGAGGAAGGAGTATGCGGTCTGCATGTGTGTCCTGCATAACACAGAGGAGGCTTGTCGGGGGAGGCAGGGACCATGAAACCTGGCCACCACGGTACCTACGATCTGCCATGCCTGTTTATGAGCACCCCTGAGTCCAAATCCTGTTCGAGCTGCTTCTACTGGGATTCACTTTGAGCCACCACACTGCCTTGCTGGGTACACACAACCACCTTGCATAGGATGATGATGGGGGGGGGGGCTTTAAGACCCCTTGTAGGGATCTGGGGATGTGGCTCTGCAGCAGGAACCTTTTCTGACAGGTCCCAGTCTCTGAATTCCACCTATAGCCCAGCTCAAGAGGAAAGCCTGTAAAAGGAACAAAAGGAAAGCCAGAGAGAAGGCCTGGCAGCCAGAGAGGAGAGGGGATGGCAGGGAGAGAGTTAAATGGATGACAGACATTTGGCCAAGGTGGCTAGCAACCAGGCCTGAGACCCTGAGTACCTCCCAGAGATGCAGGACACAGTTTGTGTGGTCTCCTAAAGTGAGCTGTGGATACCGCTAGGGAGGCTCAGACAAAAGCTAGGGGGTCCCAGTGTGGACTTGTGCACCACAGTAAGGGCAGGCGGTCCGGCACACGGGTAGGAAATTTCCCCAAAACGACCATGATGTAGCCCAGGCTGCACAATCCCCTGCTGAGAGGTCCTCTGCTGCGGCCAGACATGGCGGCCACAGGACCCGGGAGGCTGTGCTTCAGTGACCCGCAAGCCAAGCCTCGTGGCGCCCGCCCGGAGCTAGTCTCCTGGACCCTGCTTCCTCCTCCAGCTCTCCTGGCTCATGGAGCGGGCAAGAGAACCGCTTTGGTCCTGGGGGACCCAGGCGGGAGCCCTTCCCTAGGGGGCCACCTCCGTTTTCAGGGAAGCACAGGGACTTGCTGGCGGAATCGGCAAACTGAATCCGCGTGATGGCAGCAGAGCACCGAGAATGCCAACGGCCAAGGGTGCAGGGTGCTCTCCCTCCGCCCTTTGAAAAGCAAAAAAATTAAAAAAAAAAAAAAAAAAGAGTTCTCCTGCCAAGTTCCAAGATGGAGGCCAAGTAAGTATGAAGGGACTGAACTGACATGAGACTCTAGGGCTGCTGCTAGTAACCCCAGGGTGTTCAGCGGGTGGGGTGCTGTGTGCAGATGGAGGATACCAACCTTAACAGGTTCCTGCATGCCCTGCACTGCCCTGAGACACTTCGCTTTGGGCACGTGCCATCCCATGATAGCCCCGCCTGAGGGTATCATGTAGTACTTGGAGAGGGGGCAGTGGTGGAGGGTGTGATGGAGGGGGCCAAGTGGGGAGTGTGTGCATGTGGGCACAGAAGCACTTGAGAGCCCGCACCAGACCCTAAGGGAATCCTACACAAACCACATGCCAATCTGGACTAAAGGGGAGGAGTCTTAGAAACATACTCATGGATTTGGGAGCAGGGGTTGAGCATCACTCCCTAGCTGCCAAACCAGGGTATTCTCACAGCTGCATCCCTGCCCTCGCCCCGCCCTCACCCCAAACACACACACACACACACACACACACACACACACACACACACACACACACACACACACACACACAGCAGCTTTCAGAGATCCAGCAGCTGTCTACATGACTCCACCCACCAGGGTGACCAGTAAAGCTGCCAGGATGGCCTTGGGTCTGCTGACCCAAGCTTCAAGGTCAAGGGACCAGCCAAGAGGGGCCTCCCATGCTGACCCCGGTCCTGCTAGGGCAGTGGGTTGGTGGTGTCCCAGAACCGAGAGCACACACGGAGGTGTGAAAACAAGGGAGGAGACCACCCGACTCAATGGGACCCTAGGCCCAGCATGGGCTTCCCACCTGGCAGAAGGCCGCTCCTGGATGGACACAAGAGTAAAGGACAGGCAGCTGTGTTCACTGGTCAGGGCTCCAGGGTCGGTGGCCTGAGCCCCGTGGCCCATGGTCCCATGGTCTAATATTGAGATGGGAGAGGAGAAGGGCTTCCTTCCAAAACCTTGGCCTTGGTAGTGATGTGCGTTCAGGTGGATGCTGCCCTACATCATCCGAAGCAGGGACCACTAGGGTCCGGGGACATCCACAACCTCGCCTCAACAGGCAGGCCGACCAGGTCCCTGAGGAGGAGACAAGGACACATCAAAAGAAGAAACATTGCACCCACCTGCCCTCTTGTCACCAAACCCTGGGCCCCGGCCCCCACCTTAACCATCTCCTAGGCAGCACCAGGCAACCATTCTGACCTACCTCCAGCTCTGTCACAATCCCTCTCCTCTGCACAGTCCTCTGCCTCCCACCCCTAACGTCCCACCTCCCCACCCTACCCTACACCAACTACCAGGCCCCACACAGGAAACTTCTCTTTCCCTTCTCTAACTTCCCCAAGTCCCTGTCAGGCACGGAACTCTCTGTATCCTCTGTGGACACCCACCTACCTGTGCAGGGCCTAGGCACACACAGGACTCAGCTCTCTCAAGAGATTCAACTGGCCCGAGGACAGGAAATTAGAATTAAGGGACAAGAAGTAATTCTCACTCTTAACACCAACACCAGGATGCCTGCAGCACACACCCACCCTGTCTGTCCTTATGGATATCCCACAACATTCCAGGTGTCCTACACAAAATTCCCTCCAGGGGCCCAGACCCATGCAACAGAAAAAAGTGTCCACAGACAGAGTGGGTCTGCCCACCAGCTTGCATGAAAAACACCAACAATCTCGAAAACACCCAACAGCCCACATGCAGATTCTCATTTGCTCTCCCACCCTCTCTCATCCTGTCCCGCACCCCTCTGTCTCCCTTTCGCCCCCCCTCATTTATCTATCCTCCTCTACCTCCACCTCTACCTCTATCTCTGTCTTTCTCTATCCTTCGCTCCTATGTACAGTCCCATCCCTGGTATCCAGTGTAGTTTGGCCATGTTCAGTTGGGAAATGCTTTGAACTTCCCAACAGGAAGCCTTCCTTCCATGAGCACTGAAAGTCTCCAGATGCCCTCCTTCATACTGCTGAGATCTTCCATGAAGGAATCTAGAAGAAAATCACTCTCCATACCACCTGGAAACAAGCCTGTTTATGCTCTTCCAAATCTCCTTGTCTACAAAGTCTCCTGGAGACATTTGCTTAGGCTAAAAAGGGAGCTTCTTGGTGCTGGGGGTGCGTGTGGAGGCCCTGACTTCCTAGACCTGCTTGGCAGGCCACTCCAAAGGAGGCTCCTACCAACTTTCCAATGGTTCCTACACAATATTCTCATCCACCATGCCCCAGCAAGCCCTGTGCCCCAAACCCCACACATGAGGCACCAAACCTTGTGCTCATCTGAGCTGGGGCTGAAAAATGGAGCCCTAGAAGGCTTCCCCTGCATGCAAACCTGTCCTTCCCTTACATCCCAGAGCTGACCACGATAACTGTTACATATTGTGTCTCAGCCACTGCTTCTCACAGGACTAGGTCACAATAATCCCAGGTATACACAAACATCCAACACACACACACACACACACACACACACACACACACACACACACACACACACACAAGCACTTCTCCATGCGTAGCAGTTGTAGGACTCTAGATAGAGCTTTCTGTTAATTTCAGAGCTTTCTCTAAGTATTCTTCCTGCTGAGGTGATGCCTGGACAGGGGAGTGCAGGACAAGGGGCTTTTGGATCTTTGACCCTGGGAGTTCTTTCTGGGTTTAATGCAAAGGGAGCTAGGCAGGTGAACACAGGAAGGAATATTCGGCCTTCATGGGTGTCCTTCTTGAAACAGAGGAGGCTTGTCAGGGGAGGCAGGGGCCGTGAAATCTGGCCACCATTGTACCTAAATTCTGCCTGGCCTGTTTGTGAGCACCCTTGAGTCCAAACTCTGCTCTAGCTGCTTCTACTGGGATTCACTTGGAGCCACCACACTGCCTTACTGGGTACGCACAACCAGCTTGCATAGGATGATGATGATGTGAGGGGGATGTTCAGACTTTTTTTAGTGTTCTGGGGATATGGCTGTGGAGCAGGAAATTTTACGGACTGCTCCGAATTCTTCAATTCCTCCTGTAGCACAGTTCAAGGGGGAAAGCCTTGTAAAAGAAACAAAAGGCAAGCCAGAGAAAAGGCCTGGAAGACAGAGATTAGAGAGGATGCCAGGGAGTGAGTCAAATGGATGACAGACATGTGGCCACACTGACCATATGTCCCTAAGCTTTTGTGTACCACTCTAGATACCTGGTAGTATGTGTATGGTTTCCAGAAGTAAAATGTGGGTGCTGTTGGGAAAGCTCCACCATATTTAGTGGGTCATTATGTGGCCTTTTGCACATTGCTAAGTAGGGCATGAGAAATTCCCCACATCAACCCCGATGCAGCCTAGAATGGCATGATTCTCCATGGGACAGTGACAGCAATTCTTCTGAGAGAATATTTAATTTAAATATATGTGATCTTATACAGCATTCATACGTATTATATATTTTTATTTTTAATTTGTATATAATATATATATATATCATATGATTATGTTAATTATTCTATCCTGACCCTTATAGTTTCAAATGACATTGAAACCCCACTCTTTATCTTTCCTATAAGGATATAAACACGGAGTAATTTCCTTGACTTAAAAATATACTTAAAGAGGCCGGCCCCCAGCTCCCATCTTGCTCCGGACTTCCCTTTTGGAAAACTGGTTCCCTGCTAGCCCCACCGGGAAGGATCCCCTTCTCCAAGACCCCTGGCAGGCCCTGCAGTCTCCACGCCCTGCCCCCACGCCCATCCGCCTGAGCCCCAAGCCTCTTCCTGAGACTTAGAGGCCGGCCCCCAGCTCCCATCTTGCTCCGGACTTCCCTTTTGGAACACTGGTCTGGCTGAACCAAGTGTGCGGATAAGGCCAGTAACGAAGCACAAGGAGATGGGCAGACGTCAAGGCAGAAACATATACAACAAAATGAATAGCAATACAGCATCACCAGGCCCTAGCCCTCCTCCAACACCTAGACCTGATCATCAGAAATTGGAAGAAGCAGAAGAAAACAACCTTATGAATGACATCATGAAGAAGCTAGAGGCTTGTGTAGAGGAAAAGACAAAAAAATGTGAAGAACGCTGTAAACAACTAGAGGAAAGGGCAAACAAATTAGAAGAAATCAATAAAGTCCTGGAAGAAAACAATAAAATACTGAGAGAAAATCAAGAAAAATCAATGAAACAAATGAAGGAAACAGTCCAAGACCTGAAAAGCGAAATAGAAAAAATGAAGAAGACACAAACAGAGGGAATGCTGGAAATAGAAAATCTGAGAAAACGATTGGGAACTTCAGATGCAAGTATAATCAACAGAATGCAAGAGATGGAAGAGAGGATCTCTAGCGTTGAAGATACAGTAGAAGAAATACATTCATCAGTCAAAGAAAACACTAAAGCCAACAAAGTCATGAACCAAAATGTCCAAGAAATTTGGGACACCATGAAAAGACCAAACCTAAGAATAATAGGGGTCGAAGAAGGAGAAGAGTACCAACTCAAAGGCACAGAAAATATATTCAACAAGATCATAGAAGAAAACTTTCCCAACTTAAAGAAGGAAATGCCTATGAAGATACAAGAAGCTTATAGAACACCAAACAGACTAGACCCCCAAAAAAAGTCCCCTCGCCACATAATAGTTAAACAACTAAACGTACAGAATAAAGAAAGAATATTAAGAGCAGCAAAGGAAAAAGGCCAAGTGACATATAAAGGCAAACCCATCAGAATAACACCCGATTTCTCAATGGAGACTTTGAAAGCCAGAAGAACCTGGACAGATGTAATGCAGACACTAAGAGACCATGGATGTCAGCCTAGACTAATATACCCAGCAAAACTTTCAATCACCATAGATGGAGTGAACAAGACATTCCATGACAAAGCCAGATTTAAACAATACTTATCCACAAACCCAGCCCTACAGAAAGCACTAGAAGGAAAATTCCAACCTAAGGAAGTCAGATACACCCTCGAAAACACAGGCAACAGATAAAGCCACAGCAGTAAACCCCAACGTATAGAAGTACCCACACATCACCACCAAAAAATAACAGGAATGAACAATCACTGGTCATTAATTTCCCTCAATATCAATGGACTTAATTCACCTATAAAAAGACATAGGCTTACAGAATGGATACGAAAGCAGGACCCATCTTTCTGCTGCATACAAGAAACACATCTCAAATTCAAAGATAGACACTACCTAAAAATAAAAGGCTGGGAAAAGACTTTCCAATCAAACGGTCTTAAGAAACAAGCGGGTGTAGCCATCCTGATATCCAGCAAAATACACTTCAAACTAAAATCAATCAAAAGAGATCAAGAAGGGCATTACATACTCATCACAGGAAAGATCCACCAAGATGAAGTCTCAATTCTGAATATTTATGCCCCAAACACAAGGGCACCCACATATGTAAAAGAAACATTACTAAAGCTTAAATCACATATAAAACCCCACACATTAATAGTGGGAGACCTCAACACCCCACTTTCACCACTGGACAGATCTCCCAAATTGAAACTTAACAGAGACATAAAGGACTTAACTGATGTCATGACTCAAATGGACTTAATCGATATCTACAGAACATTCCATCCTAACAAAAAAGAATATACCTTCTTCTCAGCACCCCATGGAACCTTCTCTAAAATTGACCACATACTTGGCCACAAAACAAATCTAAACAGATACAAAAGAATTGGAATAACCTCCTGTGTTCTATCAGACCACCATGGTCTAAAGTTGGATTTCAACAACAACAAAAACTACAGAAAACCTGCAATCTCATGGAAACTGAATAATACCCAACTGAATCACCAATGGGTTAAGGAAGAAATAAAGAAAGAAATTAAAGACTTCCTAGAGATCAATGAAAATGAAGACACCACATATCCAAATTTATGGGACACTATGAAAGCAGTACTAAGAGGGAAATTCATAGCACTAAATGCCCACATAAATAAGTTGGAGAAATCTCACACTAGAGACTTAACAGCATACCTGAAAGCTCTAGAACAAGAGGAAGCACAGTCTCCCAGGAAAAATAGACGCCAGGAAATTATCAAAGTGAGAGCTGAAATCAATAAAATAG